GAATGCCAAGTGTAGGATCAGCAAATATGTGAAATTTATTTCACATATTGTGTTATTAAATATGCCCTCAGCGTACTTGGAGTACATCAAATCCATTCCAAGATTATCCCATTTATTCTGTCATCACATATCCAAAACAGCCCAATGTTAAAGGCAAAGTCCACCTTTTTTCTAGACTGATATTATGGAACTATGCACAGGCCTGATTACATTGTTTGTACAGTATTGCACATGTGGCAACCCAGTGCATGCAAAGAATGCATCTGTTGCATTGAAAAGGTTATTTTTCTTTTACTCCCTCAGTGTTATCACAGGGCATGAAATACATCGATCTCAGCTAATACTGGTACAATTGTCAACAGAATAGGAGGTGGAGAGACATTTTCCAATAGGGACAATTGCTCTAGTAAGGAGTGCCTAAGAGGGAATTTCTCTCACTTTTGGCCAGATTTCCTTTTACTTCCTCTTGGCCTCCAGGACCGGAAGTCATGGTTAATCTCCCCAGTAAGACACAGCCAGCAAAAAAACTTGACATGGGTTTTAATCATGTACTACTCTAAATAAAGAAAAGTTTTGGCTTGAGATTTACTTTAAGCCTGCTAGAAACTTAAAAATGAGAGAGAATGAGACTGGATATTTCATATTTCTTACATTAGTATACTTGAGCACAAATCTGGTAAAACTGGAGGACTAGTAAGTTTCAGTCCATGGTCTCATGAGAACAGTTATATCTTTTGCATCCCTTGTAATTATGACCTTGTACAGGACTCCGGCTAAGTGATGTTGGTACTGAGTGTGCCTGCATTCTCATAAAGGCAGTCACATAAATAATATATTAAATATTTTATATTTTAATATTTTATTTTTGTTATTAAAGCAAAATATATATTTTAATATATTTCCCAGAATGGTTTGAATGGGTTATTCTTTTCATTCACCATGGCATGTTTTTTTCTTTTTATGGAAAGATGTAAGCGAATCTCAAACTTCAGTTTGAAAATCACAGACTGCTAAGTATTCAGTAATCTTGCCAAGATTGCAGTCAGAAAGTCAGACATGAAAGTTTAAACAATTAATCTAAGAGTTATATTGTTGTCTTAACACATAGTAGTGCATTTTATTATTAAACTTGGGATATAAAAGTCATCAATATTTACCAGCAGCTACTTCAAAGTCCCTGTTGGGATATTGTGAGACAAGTGATTCATTATCGTTTTTCACCCGCAAAGTGCACAACACCTAATGCAGTGCAATAGAACTTGTCTTGTCATTCTTTATACACTTGCTGGCAGGCACGTTTAATTTCGCAGCAAATTATGCCAGCCCATACTCAAGCTATTATTTGGCCTCCGCCAATAATAGAAACACTGAACTGGAAGTAATCCAATTGTTCCAAACATGAAGAAAAAGCAGTTAGTGTTAAAGAAGTACTCCACTAAGTTCTGCTTTTACCTACAATTCACACAAAACCTAAGCTCACTGGTAATTCTGATAAACGTTAACCAAATATTATATATGGTGTTCACAGGTCTCTGTCAGGTACATGTGTAAAATATTTACAGGTCTCTTCACTAAAAGGTGAAGAGTTTGGGGAAGGCAGGAGAAGTGGACAATCTAGGCCAAAATAGTTGATTTAGAAAAATTCTCCAATTCAGCTCACTTCCCAGTACAGATATGTTGTCCTAGATTCATCACTTTTCCTGCCTTCTCCAAACTCTTCACCCTTTTGTGAATAACAATGTTAATTTTAGCTCTTGTTTGTGGCAAGTCTCCTTTTTCAACTCATCATAGCAAATCAGGAAAATTAGGTTAACCACTTGAAGACCTGGGTGATACAACCCCTTCCTGTCCAGGCCATTTTTCAGTATTCAGCGCTGCAGTTCTTTGACTGACATTTATTCAGTCATGCAACTGAAATACATTTTATACCATTTTTGGGGGACAGATAGAGCTTTCTTTTGGTGGTATTTAATCACCACTGGGGTTTTTATTTTTTACTGTATAAAAAAAAAGTACCCAAAACTTTGAAAAAAAAAAAAACGGTTTCCCTATGTTATGTTATGAAACTTTTCTTATCACCCCAATTTTTTTGGCAAAATATAAAAGACGGGGTCACGTCGGGTAGATAGACACCAAACATGTCAAGCCTTAAAATTGCGCACTCCCGCGAAATAGCAAAAAATTACCATACCTAAAATTGGCCATAGGCGACGCGTTTAAAGCTTTTACTGCTCATCAATTTAGTATTATCAGTGATTGGTGGCCCTAGAATTATTGCTCTCACTCCGCCGTTCGCGGTGATATTTAACATGTGCGGCACAATGGGGGAGGAGACCGCCATGAGTGGCCTGTGCCTATCGCAGTCCAGCAGAGCGGTGTGGGGGCGGAGACAGCCCACGCTGTCACAGGAGGCTGGGCTCTCCTCCCTGCACCACTCACTCAGCCTCCTGTGACAGCGTGTCGGAGAGGAGAGCAAATACTCAGTGATTAGTGATTGCTGAGTGTTTGTAGATTTGAGGACATGATATGGTTACTATATCCTCAATTATGAATGAATGGGAGTAATCTACATCACCTCCTGTTCATTCATACTTGTGGTTATAGTAAACATGCCATGTTATCAATGAACAGGAACATTCATAAAGGATTCCGGTTCATTGATAACAGGGGATACAGAAAAAGAGATTGAGGACTCTGTGTTCTCAATCTCTTTTTCTATTTTAAAAGGGAAATATCAGGGGTCTGTTTAGACCCCTAATATTTCCCCAAAGCCCCTAAAAGTAAAGTAAAAAATAAAAATATTTAATACAAAATTAATTCATAAATCTGAATTGAAAACATTTTTAAAAATTTATAAAAAAATAAATAAAACATTGTGATATAGTATGAAATACAGAATGCTTCCCTGATGAAGGACTTTACTGGTTTCAATAAACTCTCCTGTTCTCTGCTGAGAAGTCAGGGTAAATAGACAGTGTTTCTCCAATGAACTGTAAGGGCCGATTCAGACCAGATTCATTGGGGTTGAGCTGGCCGCATTTTCCAGCACAGCCCCAACACACTGGCAGGGCAATAGCCTTGTATTCAATTATCATTGCAGGGCTGTGGCTGGAGATCATTGGTCTTTATATTTCCCTGCCGTTCAGGTGTTGTGCCCCAAGATGCCTGCCTCTCACTGAGCAACTCAATCTGCTTGGTGGAAAGAGCCACCTAGGTATCCTCTGCAGTGCTGCCGCCATCTTCGATTAATGTATGGTGGATCCACAGGTACCATGATAGTTGCATTTCCCCATTTACCCCTTCACAAATTGCTGGTGAGGAACAGATGGATGGCAGAGCTGATTGAGGTTTGATGGCTGTAAAACAGACAGTGCAGTATTGAGGTGCTCTGGTCGGCGCAAAGTCAGCCATACCCCCTTTAATTGGATATAATTACTGATTTCAACAGCTCCTCTTTTTAAAACAATATTAAACTGCATGTTGAAACTGTATTATTTATTTTAATGCAGCCAGTGAAGTCATAACAAGGAGGTATTTAAAACCATTTGTTTACCATGATAGCCTGACAGCTAGCATTTGTAGAAGTAGGTCAGCAATGGCTTCCATATTACATCTCTAACCAACAGCCACAGATGAGGTAAGATCTTCCCGTCAGTGGTTAGAAAGCCTTTAAAGGTTAGTAGTACCTTCAGGAAAATGATAAGGATAATTTCAAGCCTATCTACATCCATACCAAATACTAGTAGACTGGAAGGAATAAAGAACTTTTAATTAGCTGATTCCTGCTCCTGACAACTCCCTTGCAGCTTCTACACCAGGCCTGCAGCCTCTTCTCCTATTCGCTTCACTGGTGGAGCAAAGTGTGAGAAGAGGAGAGCACTGACCACCAGGGAAGCAGGGATCAATTAAGCAAAAGTGCTTTACTCCAGTATTCTTCCGTCCCGTGAGGCAGAACCCTGTACCCCCCGATTCCCAGGTGAGCGGTGACGGCGGTTGCCGTTACATCTAGTGGCCCAACGAAGTACTGATGGGGTGGTCATAATAATCTGGCCACTCAGTGTATTTATTAGGGATGCACCGATATTTCGGCGCCGAAACGTATAGGCCGAAATTTACATTTTTGGCATAATGCCGAAAGAGCCATATTTCGGCCGATACATCGGCGCATCCCTGGTTTCTTTTCTCCCCACTGGGTGCTGCTCTGTGTTCCGGCAGGGAGAAAGGAAAGTGACAGCCGGCCGAGCGCTGCAGGACGAGAGCGCTGTGAGGGGCCGGCGTCTCTCCTCCCACACCACTCAGCCCCCTATCACAGTCCGGCAGAGCGGTGTGGGGGCGGAGACAGCGCTGTCACAGGAGGCTGGGCTTTCCTCTCTACACCGCTCGATCAGCCTCCTGTGACAGCGTGTCAGAGAGAAAAGCAAGGTACACACAATCAGCGATCAGTGATCGCTGAGTGTGTGTACATAATTGAGGACATGGTATGTTAACTATATCCTCAATTATGAATGACTGGGAGTGATCTACATTCATTCATAAATGTAGTTATAGTAAACAAACAATGTTCTCATGTTATCGATGAACAGGAAGACTCATAGAGGATTCCTGTTTAGCCTATTAAATGCAGACATTTTTTGGGGTATACATTTAATCAAGCTGTCTCATTATAAATCAAATCGTATAAGGAGACACTTGGCATAATGCCTTTAATAATTGCTTTCTGGCAATTTGCTTTCTGCACAAAGACATCCAATATAGGATCTCTTTTTCTGATCTTCATCGGTTCCCATCATGATGAAGTTCCGCTGTCAGAATAACGACTCTTTTCCTATCTTACAATGACTTGCTTCACAATAATGGCATGTTATATAAAAATCATTTATGGTTAGGGTGTAATTCTCTGTGATGTCCTGAAAGCTTTTAATGGTGTAGTTGTTACATGTGGAGGTCAATATAATTACATGTTATGTCAATATAAATCTTCTGTCTGCTGATTTCCACAGCATTATTTTACTGTGACCTTCGGCCATGATGCTCAAAAGCCATTGGAGCTGCGATGTGAGGAGGAGACAGATAGCTACGAGTGGGTGGATGCAATTCACCAAGCAAGGTGAGACATTTTACCATAGATATAAAAATATATTCCAGTCCATTATGAATGTCTCCGCTCCTTCAACAAACCATCTACACACCATTTGACTTCTTGCTTGACTGCAGCACAGCTAAAATGCCATGTTACCATTTTTTGTCTATTCTTTCCTTATAGAATATAAGATCTTTGTTATAGGGCTCTCAGAGCTATTATGTCTTATACTGGCATATGTTATTATAAGAGGACCTGTATATCTGTATTTTGTACAATGCTCCTGAAGATGCTGGTGTTATATCATTTGGAAAATGGTAAAAAAATTAAAAGACCCCATAATGCAGCATAACAACATCACATAACCATATCTCTATAGGCTGGGCCAAGCCAGAAGCAGAAGTGCCAGCTGGGGAGGCAGCCTCTTCTGCCTTGCGGTTCTGCCAAGGTAATCTGCAGGGCTGGGCTGTCATTTTGACAGCTTGACTACTCTGTGTACCAGGAGTGCTGAGAATGGATCCTGTATGAATGAAGAGTTCAGAGAGGTTGCAGTGTTTATTCATAAGAGCACTTTGATCTGCATATAATGCCAGTTCCAGCAAACCTGCTATTGCAATAAAAAATCTATTTACCATTTATTAACCCTTGGTAACGCTAATTAGTATTTATTAATTCCTTCCTCCCTTTCTTCCCTTATTTAAATTTTCGGTTGAAATTTTGTTTATATCATTTATCGAAGGGGACCTTGCTTAAAGTGCAAAGTCTGCCTTAAGCACAATTAGACAACAAAGATAATTTACCGAGCAGGTGCAATAAGACAGAATATTGATTTTAGCTGGGTAAACCTTTATAAATCATGCAGTTACAGAGATAGTGACCAGTTCTGTTTAGCTTTATTTAGACTTGCAGTTCAAATAGTTGAGAGGTCTGAAGAGCACTGGCCATTACCCTCTTTAGACCTTTCATTTCAGTTATCTTGTACTAGTCATTTACATCTAACCGATAAAGATATTTTGGCATAGACATTACATTCATTAGTTAATGGTGTATTTCATGTGCATAAATATGAAAATTATGAGCTAATAAGGCATAGCTAATACATATTAATTGAAGTACTAAAGCTATTGTGTAACACTGGCTGTGAGAGCGAAGTATGACAGTACCTTGGCCTTGTCTATCCCCGGTGACACACATCCACTGATGCAGTCTGAATGTTTTTACTTCAATGACCTGACTGGGGAGCCATACAATGCATAATTTAGCAGTTTAATCATTTTTTGTTGTGCTACACCACATCCCTTGGAATTGTGTTGACACGGATGGTGTCTATCAGCAGCAAAGTATCCTGCACAAACAACCTCATGCAAACATCTCAGCAGGCAAACATCTCAGAAGGGAGAGTAGTGTCTAGTTAAACAGCCTGTACTTACACATGGAGCAACCAAAAACTGACCTAGACCAGCAAGTATCCTTGGATTTTAAGTGTCAAATAAAACAAGGGAATACACCGACCTATCATCCCTTTGTGTCTATTGTTTGTAGTTTCTATGCTATGGAATACCTTTTACTATTGTGCTTTGGAAAGAGTTTTTCCATAAAGTATTTCTGCCATTAACACCACAGCAACCAGATTACTGCAAAAATGTGATGAGAATAATAATGAAAATACAAGAAGGCTCAGCATTCTCCAAAGTTGCTGAATCGTATCTGTTGTTGAACTTCATTATTTACCCTTTCAGATTTCACATTTTTCAGATGTCCTTTTTGAAACCATGTACTTAGGGAAATGAAAGGGTCATTGCTGATCACCTCATTAAAATGCTAGAAAAGTTAGACTGAAACGTAACTCCTGGTCTGCATGCTTGTTGTGGGTCATTGTCATGTGTATTGATAAATTTCCATTGATTCAAATAGAAAAGGTATCAAGGAGAATAAAGCTTAGGTGTAAATATACTCTAAAAGTTCACCCCAGTCAAAAGTGAAATTTAAGCCTTGAGACACATACAGAACCTACCTGCTGTCTAGCTTAGTTTTTTTGAAGACATAGCTGTATTGCATCAGTCAACCCGAGTTGCCACTGTCTGCAGTTTAGTAATTTCACCCAAGGTTCATGTCATGGGAAAAAATAGAGGCCACACTTCACGTAATTCAACCATATGCAACTGGCTTCTCCCTCTGATGCATTTCATTTGGTACAGAGCCACCAACTCAAGGCTTGGTGCATCTGATATACACAAGGCCTGATGTAAAGAAAATGGCAGAAAAGCAGAGGCAGAGAAAATACACAATGCACAAGCCCCAGATCAGTACACTTCTACTGCCCCCTTACTGATCATGCATAGAGGTGTGTGCATTTATTCTGCATGAGATTACACAGAGTTTAGATTAAGGGCCCATTCACAGTTTGGTGTTGTAGTAATGAGGTAACCTACAGGTACATTTTCGCAATGCATAGTGTGAAGGGGGTCCAAGATAAATCAAATAAACTTTCTTGCTTTAGCATGGCTTATTTGCTGGTTAGGATTAGTAGCTATGTCCCAGTTGGTTCCTGATGTGCAGTTAGGGTATAGACAGTACTTTTCGTCCACCCCTCATTCCCATCCTCCAATTTCTTTATTCCCATTACATAAAAATATCAATTTTTTTGTTGGTGTTGTCTTACATGGAGCCTAGCCTTGGTATTCAAATAAACATCACAAACTGTCCTGATTCCCCATGAATTCTCCACCAATGTTCATGAAAAATGTGTTTTATTTGGTGAATGTAATTTTGCATTTTGGCGAGTTTCCTATCTCCAGTCATATCATTCAAAAATAGAAATGTAGACAGTCTGAATAGGAAGATCCTGGATCAACTATGGTTCTAAGAATGCTGGGAACCCTAAGGAAGAGACTCTATAGGGTGCCCTGCATATATCCCTTACTACGGTATATAATACGATTTCAGCTATAAAGATTTATATGGTAATTGGTGATGTGAGTGCCTTCAGCACCATGGACAGCATAGAAAAAACACTCCTTACAATTCATTTAAAGTGGTATCTGCTTCAAAGGAATGCAGTATTACCATTTTGTTCTCAAGTTGTGAGAAAAACTCTCAAATTTAAATGTAGAAGTGATCCTGTGCAATATACGTACATATCACATAGGTTTCCCAAGCACAAAGCATAATGCATAGCATTATTGCATTGCAGGCAATATAACAATATAATGATCTCATCACTGATGTGTCACCAACATTGTGCTACAGACCCAAGGAACCAAGGTGCATCAGTGTATCCTCTATAATATTGTGTTCTTTTTGAAGTTCCGCATATATATCACTATGGAGGTATTCTGACATGGAATTTTTCCATTTTCCCTTGTGAGATGAAGGATAGTGTCCCGGTCTTTAAAATCCAATAGTTTAGCTATGAATATCTCGGGGGGGAGAAGCTCCACGTGGTGGCGGGCAGGGGGACTACGATGTGCTCTTTCCACCGCAAAGATGGATGAGAAGTGCTATCTACCAAAATGGTTGATTAATAGGGTGTAATGGAACTGGGTAGGATTAGAGCCTTCCATCTTCTCTGGGAGCCTCACAAATTTCCCTGCCATTGCATGACAGCCTGTAGGTGTAGTTGGAGTTGCTTGGATTTCCATTGTATTGGTGGGAGTTGGTCTTCCAGACCACTAAACCTTGTTTTGCATCATTGACTATCTTCCAGAGTTTCTGAAAGTTTTGCTAGAGGAATTACATGTTTTCTAATGTTTTTGTTAGATGGTGGATAAATCACCCTTCCTTCTGTATCTCAGGTCTGCCAGTGTTGCTTGGATTCTTAAGTTTGCCATTACTGTTGCTGTTTTGATGGCTCCTTTTCATTCTGGCTGATTTTTTAATATATTTTTTTTCCTCCCTAAAATAAGGTAACATGAGATGTGAGGATACCACCATGCAGTAACCAAAGGGTTTCCATGGACATATAGGGAGAAAGTAAATTACTTTACCAAACTATAATATCACTTTAAAGGGCCAGGAAACATAACATACATATTGCCATACAGAAAATGCCATCCACTTTTCTATTTGTCAGGTTTTATAAAATAATCTCCATTTAATTCAGTCTTTTCCCCTTCGTGTTTGGCATCCTCCTTTCAAAATCCTGAGCATGTTGCTGAAAATGATATATGATGAACTCCAGCTAATGAGATGCCTTTTTCATGCAGCTATTCAGACATCCTGTTAGAGAGAGAGGTCCTGATGCAGAAGTACATTCACTTGGTACAGATTGTGGAAACAGAAAAAATTGCTGCTAATCAGCTGCGACAACAGCTTGAAGATCAAGACACTGAAATTGAAAGACTGAAATCAGAGGTATTTCTCTAAGAATTTTTCCCCCATTCTTGTACTTGTTTCTTTTTGTACATGAAATTATGTTATATTGTTACGTTATGTAGATAAAAGAAAAAACTGCAGAGTTAAAACAAATCCAAACAATGGACTTCCCTTTTTTGCTCCCTTTTGGTCTGTTAAATATACCATTGTAAGCATTTTGTTATATCTGTTCGATAAGTGCAAAATAATACCTGCTGATCCTTCGAAAAATCCAGTGAACTTGTAACTTGCTGTAGTAAGCTGAGCACACAGTGACTCTGCAGCACTAACATTCCAAGCCCAGGTTTTTCTGAACTACAAAACACCTCCACACTATGCTATGGACATCAGTACAGAGAGTGAGTGTTGACATTATAGGACAGGAAATGTGTAACTGACAGGATCACCAGGTAACTAAAAAGGAAATATAGGCTGAAAAAAGATAACTAATGCAGCAACCAAATCTAATAAAGATAAGCGCAAATATATCAAACTTTCTTTCTTGGGTTTATATATGCTTTAAGGTGATACAGTTTCCTTGTTAGGCATGATGTAATGCTAACACTGAGATGCACATATTTATGCACAATACAACAATGCAATACAGCTTTTATCTGTGTGACACACATGAGCAGTATAAGCGTGATCTTGTGATATTGAAAGCCTTTTGATATTCCTTCCTTCTGTGCAGAGATATAGAAGTGCTGCTTTTCATGCCTTACCCGTCCTCAAGAATCTCTTCGAGAGATTTTTCCCGGTTGTCCAGCTCTTTCGCTGATTTTATCAGTTCTTAAATAATATCTAAACCCAAGAATAAAAATGTAATACTTTGCAGCTATCGGTTCTTACTTTTTAAAATTATTGTCACCAGGTAATAGAGCCAATAACACACTTCCTGTCTTTGGGTGACAACTGTAACTCACTGCACTGTATCTATGGAGAGCAGCATCCCAGATAGCAAGGATAACTTGCTACAAACTTGTGGCGGGGTGAAATTGTAATTTTGTTAACTTGCTGCACAAATTCCTGGCAAGTTGTAGACTTGCAGAACACTCGCAGCACAAGTTCTAGTTGACACTTTTTGAATTTGTAGCAAATTTGCTTGGCAAGTCTACAGCAAGAGTCCTGCAGGTCTTAGCAAGAGCTCTGCAAGCTCGCTGGTCTGGAGACTTGCAATGCAGATTTGATGTAATTGTGCAACAAAATTGTGAAGCTTGGCAAGTCTACAATAGTTTAGCAAGTCATTTTCAAACTTGCAGCACAATTTCTTGCTATCTGGGATTGTGACCATAGGACAGGTCTACAGACAACCTCCTTCTCGCCTCTTCTTCATAACAAAGGGGGAGGAGCTTTGCAGGTCAGAGAAATACTTAAGAGTCAGCAAATGCAAAAAAACAGAGGAAGTTATCAGCTGACAAATTTGCTGACAGGATCAACAGTTTTTTTTTTGTACTTATCAAACAAATAAAACAATATAACAACATGTAAACCAAAATAGGGCAAATACAAGTTTACATACCCTTTAAATGAAACCTGTACTGAGAGAATATAGAGGCTGGCATTGCTGATCCATTCTGAAAATGCTAGTTCTCTAGTATCCTGATAATTCTGTGGCTTTAAAACTTTTGGAGGCATGGGCCTGGGACACTTTGCAAATATCCATTTTTTTCTTCCTAATTTGTATTCTTGCTTCAGGCCAATGACTCAAAAAGTATTGAAGCCACAGACAGCCTAACAACTAGTATTCAAAGTAGGAGGTCAGCACTGGTGGCCCTATTGCTTTTGTCAGCATTGGATTCCTTTAAAGTAAACTGGACCTAGCTTGTAAAACACATGCAAAATGAGTACTGAACTACCTTTATTAATCCCTGTTAAGCCTTTTGAATCATAAGCTTAGTATATACATAAAACATTGATGTTTCTCTAATTGATTAAAATGGACCTGTGTCTAGGTTATGGGCATTCACGTTTTTAATGCTTTAAACAACTCCACATTGACCTCTATAGTGGCTATGGAATAATTTATCCTCAATGTTCACTACACCAAAGTCATTACCTATTTGCAGCTCTACTGTATATTTACAGTAGAAATTAGAAGACTGAAAGTCTGCTGAGCCGCTGCTGCATCGGGGGAGCTCATATGCTGAGAGAACGACTGAACAAACTTCAGTATCTCAAATTAATCCAAACTGGAACCTCAACACCTTGCGTGCTGACCACGGACAAACCTTATACAAAACCACCACAATCCCCTCAAAAATTATAACTGTGAAATCTTTATTTATTTAAACGTGCTTGTTGGTTTATACAACATCTTTATACACTCCTTTAAAGAGCTACATGGGATTTTTGATTGTTTTATGGGCTAGGGTCTTATGTCTTTTTCATACTGCTGTATTTCATAACTGATACATGTTTTACATAAGTAGTGCCTTTGCTTCGATTAAATGCTTTACTGTGATTGTAGTTTCAGAGGTGAAGACTTGTTTTAAAGCTAATTTACTGCTTTTTAACAATAGGTAAATACTTGATAGCCTGGCCATAGGTCTGGCTATCAAGCCCCTCGTCATGGGCAGTAGAGGCTCAGCCTTCCAGGAGGTCATTGAGCCTGCACTTCTGCCTGGCCTGGTTAGGTACACTTAAACTTTCATTTCTTACTGAACATGGAAATTGTAAGCAGGAATCCTGTTACTGTTATTTTCAGAATCGCCCTGTTCTGCTTAGATGAGCCTATTGCTGTGAAATGAATGCACAACACCCTAAGATGTTTACAGAGTTAAATGATTTATTAAATTGCCTTCACCTGACTTGGATGAAGGCCTATTGAATCCATGAAGTTCTGATATTTTACAAAACATTGCTCTAGTCTAGTGGATCAATTGGAAAGGATGTGAAAACATTTGCACATTACAGTTTATGTTTTTCCCAGTCTGTTAAAGTCTTGCCATTTGGCACATGATTTCTGAAAAAGGGAAGACTGAGCCAATCTAAACTCTGATGCTCCCATAAAACAAAGACCATACGACCAAATGTTTAGACTTTTAAGCAAATTATTTGTAACATGATTGTGTCACACTTGTAATCATAGCCAGAGAATCCATTTTACCCATACTACTAGATATCAGTTAATTCCTTTCGGTGTGCTTTAAAGTGGTTTTAACATTTTTCCCCAAGCATTTCCAGTAATCATGTTTCCAAACAGCTCCAACTCTCTCAGTGTGGCTTCCATGGACTTCATGTCCAGTACAAGATTAGAAGGGACAAAGCAGTCTCCAGCAACTATCCATATACTAGCTTGGAGAAGAGAGAGGAGCAGGAAGGATTTGCCTTGTCTTGCTGTGTTTGTGTGGATATATATACAGTATCTCTCTCTCTCTCTCTCTCTCTCTCTCTCTCAATAAATATATATATACATATATATATGTACAGTACTGGGCAAAAGGTTTTAGGCAAGTGTATATATTGGGGATACATTGATACTGGTTTTTCGGTACTGAGGAAGAGTACCAATATTTATCTTTCGATACTCACTGATACCGAGTAATTATACTGGTACTTCGGCTAGCAATTTAGCATGGACCTGGCTTTCCAGGCAACCAGGAAGCCGGGCGGTGTGTAATTACCCACGGCCAATCAGCATCGAGCCGGCTTCCCGGCCATTGAAAAAACCAGGAGGGGGGGTCATTACCCGCCCACCAGCTTCCTGATTGGCCGGGAAGCTGGCTCTATGCTGTATGGCCGGCTTGATGGATTCCCAGCCAATCAGCATTGAGCCAGCTTCTCGGCCAGTCAGGAAGCTGGGCGGCAGGTAATGACCCACCGCCCGGCTTCCTGATTGGCTGGGCAGCCGACTCCTTGTTGTTTGGCCGGCTCGATGCTGATTGGCTGGGAACCTGGCTTACCGGCCAATCAGAATGGAGTATGCCCAACAGCATGGAGCTGCTCCGGAAATCTCCCTCTTACCCGGTATCTGGTAAGGTATCAGAGCATTTAGGTGAGTACTCGCCCAAACACTCGGTATCGATGACAATACCAGTATCGGTATCGATGCATCCCTAGTATATATTTTTATTGTTTATTTTTATTCATTTACAAAATGCAAAGTGAGTGAACAGAAGAAAGAATAAGTCTAAATCAAATCAATATTTGGTGTGACTACCCTTTGGCTTCAAACTAGCATCAATTCTTACACTTGTCAGGGATTTTGTAGGATTAGAGTCACGTGTATGATTAACCAATTAGACTAAGCAGGTGCTAATGATCATCAATTTCATAGGTAGGTTGAAACACAGTCATTAACTGAAACAGAAACAGCTGTGTAGGAGGCTTAAAACTCTGCTACTAAGGTGAGGTTGTGTTTCATGTCATAGGTCATACACCATGGCAAGACTGAGCACAGCAACAAGACACAAGGTACTTATACTGCATCAGCTAGGTCTCTCCTAGAGAAAGATTTCAAAGCAGACTGGGGTTTCAAGATGTGCTGTTCAATGTTGAGGACCGTAGACTCAGTGGTCGGCCAAGGAAACAATGCAGCAGATGAAAGACACGTCATGGTTACTTCCGTCTGACATGGGAAGATGGCCAGCAGTGCCATCAGCACCGAATTGGCAGAAACCAGTGGGACTCAGGTACACCCATCTACTGTCTGGAGAAGTCTGGCCAGAAGTGGTCTTCATGGAAGAATTGCATCCAAAAAGCCATACCTCCAATGTGCAAAGAAGGCTAATGTCAGGATCCGGATCAGAACCTAGGGCCTTTGCTGTGTCTGGCGGTGGCGCTACCTGCTGAGCCACTCTGAAACCTTGAATAGCTCCTTGCCTGCTCTCATGTGTAATCCTCAGGTAAGCCTATTTTCTCCTGAACTCTGAACTCATTGCTCCTCCCTTGAACTTCCTATTTTAGCCATGCCTCTGCACTTCCTATTTGCCAGATTATTTTGCTCCTGCCAATATCTTGCTTCCTGCTCCCTCTGTGATACAATCTGCTCATACTGCTAC